ATTTAACTCCAATTCAGAATCATACGAAAACCTTCTTGTTCGCGCAGAGTAACTTTCACTACTGACTGAATCGAAGACTGCAAGATAACGCTATATTAATGCACAAAGTAAATTATGGCCACTCGCCGAGTATTGTTGACGAACTATTTATAATAAGCAGAAAAACACTAGTTATTTACTAAGAAACAGTGAGTTTAGAATCCCTAATTTTAACACTATTATCTATGGAAAACATTTCCTACGATATCAAGGACCTCATATGGTCGAAACTAGATAATAAATTGAAAGGCTCCTCGAATATTGAATCGTTTTTTAGGAAAAAAAGACCTAACTTCACTCTTAAATAACAACAATAACTTCTATAACCTTTGCAATTCTTAGAGACTACAGTTGATTCCCGATGACTGGAACCCTCGCTAACTCGAAGTAGTTTTTGTTTTCCCTCAGATCATTTCTATATAATTTTACCCTCGATAACTCAAACCATATGTTTTGAGCCCTTAAAAATTTCGGGAAAAAAAAACGGTCTAATGGCGTCCGAAACATTGAATTTTGAATTTCCCATTTACGTGTTGTAGGCGTATAGTTTATTAGTGGAGGCTGATGTTGTTTGTCACAATCTATTGTGAAACAGCTTTACTTCTCAAAACAGTAAATTAACGCATGCTTTGTCTAGGCAATGTTTTGTTACTTACATACGTTCTGATTTATAATCTAGAAGTATCTTTCAATTTTCACTTAACATTTCTACATGAGCTGGGATTAAAATGTTCACTGTGCAGTAAATACTGTTTTTTTTCTCTTACTCCCGGCTATTTAGTGAAAGATGAAAGATATAAGACATTTTTATTTTTTATAAAACACTGAACGCATCGTTTGAATGTATACATTTAGTTCTGGCTCAATATTGATTCTGACTGCACCCGCCCTTGCACACAGAAAGAATTTCATCCAGTTGTCAGTTTCTTTTCGTCATAAAGAAAATTGTCTCTTGCCGACCATTCATACGTTAACGACAAAAGAATCAACGAAAAAATTAAATGAAACTTTTAATTCCGGATGATACAGGGCACAGATATTAGACATGGGAAATAAGTTTACATAAAACATGTTTATCTCATGTTATCCAAGTTATTAATATCTATAAATAAAAAATATCTATTTAATATGTAAGAACATTACTGCAATAAATTCTAATCCCCGTTTCCCTTTTTTAGAGATTTTTTTTCCATAAAAGTTAAATTTTTAAAGTATAAAACCTCAGTGGTCTCAAGGGAAAAAAGACACTGTTAGACTGGTAATGTGAATGAAATGGCTAAGACTTTTGTTAGAGCATTTTCATTTTTAGTTCATTAAGATATTCAAATACAGTTCATCTCACTTGTTCCTCTGGCTTTATTTCTCTCCATGGTGTTTTAAATTTACAGCCGGTAACAATACACAACCGCTGTTGCATTTTATCGAGTTCTAGTAATGTTGCCATGGGTTCAGTTTACCAGCCGTTACGTACTGCGACAAGTTCAAACGAAGGCGATATTTTAAATAAAATACTAGACGCTACACCAAGGGAGAACGGAAATTGCCTTCTGTTATTAACGATAATATCAATCTCCGTCTCAACAAATTGGCGGCCGTCTTACAGAAAATGCATGGAAAAAATTGAGTAGACAAACGAATTCAAACGAATTTATCTTATATTCTCATTTCAATTTGTTTGGATTGAGATTCAAAATTCAGAAGCATATGTCGCTCGAATATATATACTAGAATCAAAGTCTATGCCTTTAATTAAACCGAAACGAAATAAATTCAGAACACTTTGATATTCAAATTGGCTTTAAACTGACTTCATACGCCGGCTTAAAAGTCTACTTTGATGGCGAATCCAAAATGTTTCTTATATCGAAGCATTTCGATCATGTCCCTTTTTTTACGGTGAAAAAGATACATCATTCCAGTTAAGTTTCGGTTTAATAGAACGCAATAAATGAAGAATAAGAATCAGATATTTTTTGCATCAAGCTTGAATCAATTCGCGTGGCTTGTAAGATCTCGCCCTTAAGAGGCTAGATTATACTTTGTAAAACGTGACTTGAAAACATAAATGTGTTTAGAATTGCGTTGAGGCAAAGCCACATGACGCCATCTGTCTTTGGTTAACATGAATCGTTTGCTTAGTTAGCTTGTCGTTTGTACAGTACAGGCAAAAAAGCAAATGGAGGAAAAGCATCTTAAATTCTCTCAGTGATGAATTTCAGCTAAAAATCGCCAGTTAATAAACCATTCTCGATAGTTTAGTAATAACTATCAGCTTCAATCCAGTTGCGATTATTTTAATTCAAGGTTCTCAGAAGGACTTGGAATATGATGAGTAATTCAGGTGTCTACGAAAGCTGTTTGACCACCAACAGTGTTACATTGAACGTGTATACAAGTGACTGTTTATCACGATGAACCACAATCAACGCTTTGACCGTATTTTCGATTGAAAACTGCTGAAATATCTCCCCTTTTTTCCCACACTGGGCAGCTTTGTTGTTTCTTTATTCTCGAAGCCTTCAAAAGCTGCTGTAGAGGCCATTGTTGTTGTTATTTGTCAACTTTTAACCGAATCTCCCACATAACGACGGCCCATTCGCTTAAAATCAGGCCAGGTAATACGTTTTCTACACAGCGTCGAAAACTTCAGCTTCATGGTTTACGATGCTTGCTCTCGCTGAGGATGATGAATTCGGCTCTACTCCAAACCTTTTCTTGCAAATATACAAGAAAATGGCGGCTGAAAGAAACGTGACGAGCCCGACTAGTCCCAGTACGGCTGGTACTTGCATGATTTCCTATGTCTTTGCGGCCAATTGTCATAAATGAAGACTTTTAAATGGCGCCGTCTCAGATTCTCCTTTGCTTTCTGTGTTTTCAAAAAGCCTGGATGGCGGAAATCATTGTTGTCAAGTTTTTGATGATAGATTGTGTAAATTTAGTTGGGTCTGAACACCCCCCAGGGTTTGAAGTTCTAAGCGTTGCCTGTCAGACCAAGTTGTAACGGGATTCGTCTGTAGCCTGGCACACCTGACGTAAGATCAGGCAGCAACGTCACCACGTTCGTGGCCGCCTTTCTGCAGAGCATTGATTGAATGCAAATATCAAAACAACATTTGCCTAGCTGCCTATGCCAAAACTACTAGAGGTTGAAAGTTTTCAGATAATATGCTTCTTCGCGTTGATTACAATTGCTAACTAAAGAAACCACAACCATTACTTTTGACGAAGTAATAAAATATTCTTAGTAACTTTTAGTACCGGTTGACACGTTTTGATATCTTTATATTATGCTGATTGACAGCTTGTCAGCTCTTATTCAAGAATTGAACAAAATAAGTCAGTTTGTTTCCGCTTGACTTTCATTAAAAAGGAATCGGAATAAGATTGGTATCGAATGTATTTTGTAAGTTTCCTTTTGTAATTATAATAATATCCTCGGATATAGTTGCCCCCGGATATTTTTTTCTTCACGGGTTCAGAAAATTTTCCTGCTGACAGACCCAAAATGAAATCTGTTTGCGTTCGTACTGTGAGTTCGAAATATATTGAGCTTTTGGTATACTTATTTATAATTAAAAAGTTTGATTGAGCTGAAATGTCATGCAAATTTACCAACCTTTAATAACAAAACGTACGTCCCCTAGAACGTTTTTGATGCAGCATTTAGAACAACAAGATGAGTCTAAGGTCGCTTTTCGAGAGCGAACTTTCAAAGTTATTTCATGGTTGTTTCTATTTTCGTGTATCCTGTTTTGAATTTCTTATCAGTTTCCCTTTTCTTAAGGAGAAAGCTTTTAGTATGTCCGTCGCTGAAAGGTTTGACTGACTGTCAATCTTCAGTATGGTGCAATAAAGTTCGTTACGTTTCGTCACATAATATGTGACGAAATATTATTGGAACAACATCCGCAATGCGTCTTTAAAAAAATCTGGCCCTAATTGATTCCTCCAAGGATCACGAAGAGAATATGTCAAATAGATTAATATGTCACATGTGCATTTCGTTTATCATATATGCCATATAATACATCATATAATAAGTTTCTAACTACATATTAATTAATTTCATGTTTTCATATTTTCCATTCCTTATTTGGTTTCTTGTCAGTATCGTGTCTTGTCTACAGTAGTTAATTAAAACACCAACGTGTAGGAAACTCTTGATAGGGTTTCACTGACAGCTAGGAATTGGCTAAAATTTTACGCTTTCAAGCAACAAATTCAAAGTATTTAACTGATGGAGATCTGGGATCCAAAAAAATAACTGCTATTGAAAGTTGAAAAATGGGCTGAAATTTTAACTGCTTGATGCCTGAGAAATCGCCGCAAATTTAATTGACAACAGTGAGCTAAGATTTGAGGAATTCCATGAAGACCTTCATGAAATTCGTATTTCACAAATTATAAAATTTCATACAAATTTCTGAATTTTTTCAGCTATCATCGCCAAGTGTTTTGAGAGCTAATGGTAACCTAGTTAACCTACAGTAGTCCTTAATAAGCATGGTTTCGCCTTTTAATAAGAAATCATTTGCTATGGTTACATGTATATACACCGTCATCGTTTTCAAATGAATTTGGACGTGAAAACTGGAACATGAGATTATAAACTAGTTTTGACTGCACGTTACACTTCTCTAACTAAAGAAACAAGAGGCGCTTTTCTTTCTCCCTGATCGGGGCTACAAGTCATCGGCCATTTTGGAGGTGAGATTAGGACTTGATCGGTTTTGTGTCGAACTGCACTGTGGAACTGTTTTGGGGACACCTTTTGACCTAATTTTCTGGGCAACGTAATAGCCAAGGAAAGAAGAGATAGCGTACCCAAAACAATCCATGGTGCATTCTGACACAACACCCGAAAATGGCCAATAGACTTTATGACATGACCCACTGTATGTAGAATTTCTAGGAAAATAGTGTCTGCAAATCCACTAGACGCCCGACTTCCGAGACTTTCAAACTGGATCACCGTTTTGGCCGTGCTGACGGTTGAGTTTAACTCTGTCGCGGTTCAGTGGCGTCAACTGTAGTTTTTTCGAGTCTTCATCGACTTCTATCGTGGTATGCCTGGGGTATTCATCCTTCGGGATTTGTGGACCATCTATCTCTGACAACAATTCTGGAAACTTCAGAGGACTGTCTACCATAACGACAGGTGTGGTATATGTTGGGCTCTCAGGTGGTATGGGGAAAAACTGTTCATATTTAGAAAGCAAGCTTTCTGCAACTTCTTGGATGCTCTCATCGAACTCCTTTTTATTCGCATTCTGGAGAAAGATCTGTACATTTCTCGTAGCGTTCTGCTTGGCGAGTTCCTTCGCTTTGGTGTGAAACTGCTCCAAGGCTTCCTTAGCTTCAACATAGAGGTAATACTGAGGACTGGGCATTCGAAGGTGCTTTTCTTTTTCGTTACATCGACGAATGCAAACAGAGGCAAACAGAGTGAGCATAGCGATGATCATCAGTGACCAGCCAGCCATCTGACTGTTGGTTTTATAGTTGTCTTCAAGCACAATAGATCGGGCGCCCAACTTTGAATAACATTCGTCGGTAGCGTTGTTCCGTGCTATATCTCTGTCAAGCGGTGGACCAAAATACGCGCAGGTGTAGTATTTTTGTTGAAGAAAGGACATAACTAACCAGGCGATTGGTGCGACACTTGCTCGTACAAAGTACGTAGGAGTAAACAACAATGTTCTGAACTGGCGAGTAATCGGCTTTTCAGCATTTTCCGTTTTGTAAATTCTCCTTGGGAACTTCCGCCATAATTTTTTTTCCAACAGAATTCCCGGAAGAAAGAGAAGAAAAGATGGAGCCCAAAGAAATAACATGCCATAAACAAAGTGTCTTTCGCATGGACAGTCGAAAACCACGCTCTCAAATAGCTCTTGCAAGCCTATTGTTAAAGCCGCCATAGATCCATACAACAAGGATCGTTTAGAGTTTCTTAATAAAATAGAAAAGCTCGATATTAGCGCATTCATTGCGAGCGGTTGGCACAGCTCGATCAAGGTAACACAAATCTTCACAAAACCAGCGATCTTATGCACAAACAGATGCGAGTAGTGGTATTTAAATATAGTAAACAGTTTCATGGTGGAAGTGATATCTTTAGTTTCGAAACTTACCTGTAACTGCGGTTTTTAATAAAGCGAAAGTTTATGTTCCATACCATTGATTAGAAGTGACTGCAACATAACTGCCGATAGTTATATACTTAATTACATAAAAAGAAAGCTTATAAAGACGAGTAGTTGTATAGAAAGTCAAACATTCTCAAAGCGAAAATTAAAAGACTTATTACAATTAATTTTTATTTAAGTATTCTATTAACATGTTTAAAAAGAATTGAATGATCGCATCAGATTCCGTTGAAACTTCATGCGACACCGTTTCAGTACCACATACAGTGTAATATCCGCTAAAGTATGCGAATCCAAGTGGTCGAAACGAAACAAGGTAGCCATGGGTTGAATGATGAGATAGAATAAGGAGTAAGGCAGAAAACGCTGAGAGACTTACGGAGGAAGAGAAGAAGTCCTTCCCGTCCAACTGACCCGAGAGCGAATGCATAATACTGTTTAAGAATCTTTTAATTTCAGCATAGCGATTCTTAACTCCACCGTATAATAATTATGTATTCTATGTCCGTCGGAAAGACCTTTTAAGGAGAAAATGAATAGGTTTCAACCCTACTGAATTCAACCGGATGTCTAAACATTGTGGAAGTAAGAGACAAATGGTTCCTATAAGGACAAATTAATAATCACACTTTTTAACATTTATTTCACAGACTGCAACTGAACGTTTCGAAACTTAGAATATGTTACAGTCATCTCATTGTAAATTCAAAATAAATAATAATGGTCACTTTTTCAGTTAATGTGAAATAGATTTTCTTCTTAAGGAGTAGTGTAGAAAAATATCAAATTAAACAATGACAAATTTCACACTGACTTGCAGACCGTAGGGACTTAAAGGAGCGAGCTGTGTCAGTCACAAATTTATCGGAATTCAAACAGCAGAACAGAAGACTTAACTCACTAAGTGCATCTAAGTTTGAGTGAAACATAAAAATAAACGGTCAGAACATTAAAAGAAGGTATAAATAACACAGCAAATACAAAAGAAAGCAGGGATGGACAAACTTGAAAAAGATTGAAATAAATATTTTGAAAACTTGTTAGCCTAACAGTCGTTCAAATTTCACTTTCAGGCGTTGTTTGTATTTTTTGATGTAACTCTTAGAAGGCAAATTATTTGTTGGAGAAGAAGAATGCAGTTTTGTCAGATGGGGAAGGAATCTTTAAAAGAATCCTTAGTTTTCTTCAAGTTGACAAAGGAAGCTTTTTTTCGGCTTTATAAAATTGTCCTTCGAGGAATTTAAAATACACGGAATTTTTATCACGGCCGATCGGAGCGCTTTGCTTGTTTTGAAACGCCACCAAGCAGCAA